ACAGGCAACTGACACGTGATGATAGTTATTAAGGAGCAGAGTGTCAACTGCTTGGTATACAGACAGCTTTTGGTTGTCACTAACACTACCAAAAATGAGATCCAAAAATACACCATGCTGATTCGGAATAGAATTTGATTGCATGAGGTCCAGATAGGAAAAAGATTCACCCAAAACTCTAGCTGGATAATTTTGGGGACACACCACTGAAAGACCATCATCCAAAGAATAAGCCCATGTAGCCAGTGGCAAATTATAATCACCAAATAAGTACAAAGGAATTCCTTGTCTAGTATTTTTAACATTTTCCACTGCTGAGCAGTGGGCAATGTAGATGTCCTCTGCAGAGTTTGGAGGAATGTACACCCCACCCAGCATAAATGAACCAGCTTGAAAATCCACCTGGACGAAGCTCTATATTCAATGCCTCTGTCTTGACTAATTTAGCCTTAAAGTGATTCCGTATTAAAATTACAACTCCACCTTTAAGCAGAATAGATACGATGGTTTCGTTGCGTTGCGTTGTCCGTATTGTTACAGGCCTCGCCTCGTATCCGTATCCGGAAAAGTATCTCAATCATTTGACACTATTGAAAGAACTCCTTGTTAAGCCCATTTTACAATGGACGTAATGTAACCGTAAAGATGTAACAAGATTCCTAAGCATGCGCACATTATATTTATTTGCATCAAATATATCACCAGAAACGCAACGTAAGAGATGCCGCCGTGCCGCTTTGTAAAGTAAATCGAGTCGGAGGTAAATCGATCAGCTTAAAGTTACGTGTGTAGCAATATTCTTGTAACAACACTAGATTTGTTGTAGCAACAAGTCGTTAGTAGGTTTGGGGCAAGATTCAAATTAGTTATTCTTGTAGCAACACTTCCTTTGTGTAGCAGCACAAGATCATAATATGTAGCAACACCAAAGAAAAAAATGTAGCAACACGTCTTGAGTAAAAATGTAGCAACACTCGTTTTATGTAGCAACAAGTCATTTGTGGGATATTGTTTGCTCAGGGCAAGAGTTTGTTGAATTGGTTATGTAGCAACACGAAAAAAAAAGTGTAGCAACACAATCGTTGGGAATAGTTTTTAGTAGGTTTAGAAAAAAATTTCAATGAACTTATGTACCAACATTTAAAACAAAATGTAGCAATACAAGAAAGTGTAGCAACAAGTCGTTTTGGTGGTAGTTTTTTTAGTGGGTTTTTAGGGTGAGTTTTAATGTAGCAACACTTGTATAGTAGCAACATTTGGTAAAAAAATTTAGCTTCCCGTCGGGTTTGGAATTCGAATTTTAGATTTTCCTGGCTTTTAATTGGTTTTGGAATTTGAATTTTGATTATTCCCGGCTTTTGATTGGCTTATTTTTGAATTTTCCCGGCTTTTGATTGGTTTAGGAATTCAATTTTTAATCATTCCCGGGTCTTGATTGGCTAAGAAATTCAAATTTTGAATATTCCCGGCTCTTGATTGGCTTCCGAAGTCATTTTTTGAATTTTCTCGGCTCTTGATTGGGTTTAAAATTGAAATTTTAAACATTTCCGGCTCATGATTGGTTTAGAGAATGAATTTTTGATTATTCCCGGCTCTTGATTGGCTTAAAATTTTGAATATTCCCGCCTTTTGATTGATTTAGAAATTCAAATTTCAAATATTCCCGGCTTTTGATTCGCTTCCAAAGTCAATTTTTGAATTTTCTCAGCTCTTGATTGGGTTTAAAATTCAAATTTTAAACATTCTTGGCTCATGATTGGTTTAGAAAATAAATTTTTGATTATTCCCGGCTCTTAATTGGCTTGAAATTTTGAATATTCCCGGCTCTTGATTGGTTTAAAAATTCAAATTTTAAATATTCCTGGCTTTTGATTCGCTTACAAAGTCAATTTTTGAATTTTCCCGGCTCTTGATTAGGTTTAAAATTCAAATTTTGATTATTTCTGTCTCTTGATTTGCTCTGAAATTCAAATTTTGAATATTTCCGGCTCATGATTGGTTTAAAAATTGAATTTTTGATTATTCCCGGCTTCTGAATGGCTTCAAATTTTGAATATTACCGGCTCTTGATTGGCTTAAAAATTTAAATTTTGAATATTCCCGGCTCAATTTCTAATCCAATCAGAAATTCAAATTGTGAATATTCCTGGCTCTTGATTGGCTAAGAAATTCAAATTTTAAACCTGAGCAAGAGCCGAGAAAAATTAAAATTTGAATTTTAAACCCAATCAAGAGCCGGGAAAATTCAAAAATTGACTTTGGAAGCCAATCAAGAACTGGGAATATTTAAAATCTGAATTTCTAAGCCAATCAAGAACCGAGAATATTCAAAACATGAAGCCAATCAAGAGCCGAGAAAATTCAAAAAATGACTTTGAAAGCCAATCAAGAGCCGGGAATATTCAAAATTTGAATTTCTAAGCCAATCAAGAGCCAGGAATAATCAAAGTTTGAATTTTAAACTCAATCATGAACTATATGAAAATTCAAAAATTGGCTTTGGAATTCAATCATGAGCCGGGAATATTCAAAATTTAAATTTTTAAGCCAATCAAGAGCCGGTAATATTCAAAATTTGAAGCCAATCAAAAGCCGGGAATAATCAAAAATTCAATTTCTAAACCAACCATGAGTCGGGAATATTTAAAATTTGAATTTTAGAGCCAGAAATATTCAGAATTTGAATTTTAAACCCAATCAAGAGCCGGGAAAATTCAAAAATTGAATTTCAGAGCCAATCACAAGAGCCGGGAATAATCAAAATTTGAATTTTTAAGCCAACCAAAAGCCGGGAATAATCAAAAATTCAATTTCTAAACCAATCATGAGCAAGGAATATTAAAAATTTTAATTTCAGAGCCAATCAGGAGTCAAAATAATCAAAATTTGAATTTTAAACTCAATCAAAAGTGGGGAAAATTCAAAAATTGTTTTTGAAAGCCAATCAAGAGTTGGGAATATTTGAAACTTGAATTTCTAAGCTAATCAAGGGCCGGGAATATTTGAAATTAGAAGTCAATCAAGAGCCAGGAATAATCAAAAATTCAATTTCTAAACCAATCATGAGTTGGGAATATTCAAAATTTGAATTTCAGATTCAATTAAAATAATTAAAATTTGAGTTTTGAACCCAATCAAGAGCCGGAAAATTCAATAATTGATTTTGGAAGCCAATCAAGAGCCAAAAATATTTAAAATCTGAATTTCTAAGCCAATCAAGAGCCGGGAATAATCAAAAATTCAATTTCTAAACCAATCAAAGTCGGGAATATCCAAAATTTGACCTTCAGGACCAATGAAGAGTCAGGAATAATCAAAATTTGAATTCTAAACCCAACAAGAGCCGGGAAAATTTGAAATTCGAAGCCAATCAAGGAGCCGAGAATAATGAAAAATTGAATTTCTAAATCAATCAAGAGCCGGGAATGATCAAAAATTCGATTTTCAACCCAATTAAAAGCCAGGAATGATTAAAAATTGAATTTTAAACCCAATCAAGAGTTGAAAAAATTTAAAAAATCTATTTTTAAACCAATCAAGAGCCGGGAAAATTTTAAAATTGAATTCTTAATCCAATCAAAAGCTGGGAAAATTAAAAAATAAGTTTTTTAAAAAAGCCGGGAATAATCAAAACTTTAATTTCTAAACCAATCATGAGCCGGGAATATTCGAAATTTGAATTTCAGAGCCAATCAAAAGCCAAGGATAATCAAAATTTGAATTATTCTCATCTTCTCTTACGTTGCGTTTTCAGTAATATTTTTGAATAAATCTAATGTGCGCATGCTTAGGACTTATGTTACGTCTTTACAGTTACGTTACGTCCATTGTAAAATGGGCTTTACAAATAACTTTCGATCTTTTACGTAATGTATGGCCATGCTTAAAAGGACTTTTACGCGGTCAACGTAAGTCGATGCGTTTACGGATACGTAGAAAAATTTTGAATTTGCTTAAAGTGTCTAAATAATATCAGAAACTTTGCAATGAGGTTAGTTACAAGTATACAGGATGTGTCACAAAAATGTCGTGAAGCAAAGTTATACTTTTTTTTAAATGGAACACCTTGATGTATATTATTGACCTATTTGATTAGCCTTCCAAACTTGATTCTAAATATACTAGGTTTTTCAGGTTTCTTCCTTCATAGTCCAGCCTCTGCCGAATATCCCATTTTGAAGAAATAATATAAACTTTTTACTTGAATTTATATTTTGCTGGTGGTCTCTATACCTTATATCTTGTTCAATTAAAATTAAATTAAGTATTCCACCCCTTTTTTTCTTATTTTCTCCCAGAAAATTAGGAATAAACCTAAAGAACCTAGTATATTTGGAATCAGGTTTGAAATCCAATGGGTCAACAATATACAGGGTGTTCTATTTAAAAAAGTTTAACTTTGCTTTGTGATACACCCTGCATACTTGTTACTAACATCATTGAAAACTTTCTGATATTACCTACAACTTTCCCATTTGACATTTCTGGGTATCTCTTCAAAGATGTGAGCAAAATATAGACAATCACTCAAAACATAGGGATTTTGGAAACCATTCAAGACCAAATGAGGAAAAAGTGGCGCAATCAAGTGCTTACGATAATAATCTGTCAATGGTTTCCAAAATCCCCATGTACTTCAAGTTATTTCGTATATAGGATGTACCTTATTAGTGCATCATCCTTATTTTAAAGGCCTTATAAATTACTTCAAAATTTGAGTCAATAAATTCTTGTCTCAAAATATACACTCAAACGTTTGATGCACTTATCTTAGGACACCCTGTATATTCTTAAATATATTATAAATCGATAACAATGTTAAGTCATTTTATGGACCTAACATTGTTTATCAAAATTAAGTACTTCAGGGGAACCTATACCTACCTAAAATTTATGTCAGACACACAAAGTAGGTAAATACTTACCTATTGTTATTTTAATCAAACAATTTTTATCTGTATGTCAATAAATTTCGAATAACAAAGATTTTTTGTTCCTAGTCTGGTAGTGCATCATCAGGATCTTTGTTTTGTATTTCAAGAAACTATGTGATAGACTCGAAGTAGGAAAATTATGGAAGATAGAGAAAAAAAAGAGGCCGAGAACCAGTATCCCGATGGCGGCTATGGATGGGTTATTGTTGGAGCTATTTGTCTAATAAATGTAAGAACTATTTCTTATGATTACCTAATTTTTACTTCACTATTTTATAGGTCAGTTTACTGACACTGGTGCCATGTTTCGGACTGATATTCAAAGACGAATTCAAGCAATGGGGCGTCAGTTCAGCCCAAACCTCATTTTTACTTCATTTACAAAATTCTTTATTTTGTTTATTTGGTAAATAGATAATTCAAGTAACTGTTCCAATTTGAGACGTTTCTCTTTTAGGTTTTTTCTCTAGTCCTTGTCTCAAAATATACGGAATGAGACGCGTATCCTTAGTAGGAGCTTTTTTGATGAGCTTTGGAATATTTTTAACCAGTTTTGCTACTTCATATGCGTACCTGGTTTTTTCTACTTCAGTGTTAATAGGTAACAATTATAACAAAATCATAGAATTGATAAACAAAATCTATTTTAGGTATCGGACAAGGTATAGCAATGCCTGCAACATACCTAGCTACCTACACTTACTTCAAAAAAAGACTGACTATAGCTTTAAGTCTTACTGTTACGAGCGCTAGCTTATCTTCCATAATTCTACCAAAAATCTGTGATAAATTACTAGCTCAAATAGGTCGTAAGTATGTGGTCTTGGTTCTTTTTGCCATCTCCTTGTTGTCGTTTATTGGATGCGGCTTGTTGAAACCAGTAAAAAAGAAAAAAATTATGACTGACATGAAACCAGAAGTTACCAAAGAGCTTTTGCCAAACAATTCGAACAAAGTCTACCAGAGCACAACTACAGCAAAACCTCAAAATGTCTCAGTTTTGACTAAAATCTTCAACATATTTGACTTACACCTACTCAAAGATGTACCATTGGTTATAATGATTATTGGATTAGGAGTGTCATTTGCTTCAGAACTAAACATAATCCTGATGTTGCAATTTATCTTGGAAAAACTGTCTTTGTTTGAAAGAAGTGACATAGCAACAGCCGTAATGATTCAGAGTATTGCTGACATAATTGGCAGGCTTTTGATTCCTATGTTGGCCCATTGTGCCAACGCTTCTGGCAAAGTTATGTATGCTGGGGCACTAATTTTGGCTTCTTGTGGCAGAACTAGTAAGAATTTATTGTGATTTGTATTTGTATTGGATTATTTGGGATTGTTTTTTAGTTTTGGCTATTTGGCCCACAAACAATTTGGTAGTTTTTGGGGTGATTTTCCTTATAGGACTCACCAAAGGCACCAGAGCAGTATTTCAGTCAGTAATTTTGCCCAAATATGTGAGTTTAGATAAGATACCGGCTGCAACTGGGGTCAATATGCTGTTTACTGGCTTTGTATCGTTGATTATTGGACCTTTATTAGGTAAGCAAATATTGTTTTGGATGAAACATTTTTTTATCAATTTTGTTTAGGTATTGTCCACGATAAAACAGGTTCCTATATTTATGCTTTGCAAACTGCCTCGGTGCTATCAGTGTCTTGTGTGGTCATGTGGATATTGGAATGGGCGTTTTTGGAAAGGGCCACTAGCAGTGAAGAATAATGTGATTTTTGTTAACTGACTAATAATTTAATATAGATAGTTTTATTACAGGCTTACATTTTATCCAAAAAACCTGCATTTTTACATACTAAGTATATGAGAATTCTGTTAGAGTAGTTTTAGTTGAAATAGGTATAAAGAACATCTCAAGCTTATTGAGAGAAAACACTAAAAAGAGTCACAATGAATTCGGACATAGGAATTAATTCTGGAAGATTGTTTCCTGCCACAATATCTGGATGAAAAATGTATTTAGCTTAATTTTGGCTTCTTTGTAGAAAAATCAAAAGGATTTCAAGGATATCTGCCGTATTTCACAAAACAGACTAATTGGCAAATTTGGTTTTAATACTTGAAGAATAAAGAAGAGACATTTCCAGTAGTTTTATTATGAAGTTGCTTCAAACGTAAATGATTATCTGCAATTTGATTTGAATGTTGTAGATGTAAAATTGGAACTTTTGACTTAGAAAAATAGGAATATTTCGAAAGAAAGAAAGAAAGAATTTGCTTTATTGTCAGAAAATTTTACAATTTTGTGGACAAAGCTGAAAAAATAAAAAACAAAACATACAAATGCAAAAGCACAGACAAAACCAAACACTTGAACAAATAGTTCATGGTCAAAATTTGATTAAAACTAACAAACAAACATCTAGGTCTAACTGCTTATACTGTGCGAGTAAGCATATTATAGGTACTAAAAAAACAAACAAACAATAACTTATAATAACCTATCATGATACAGGAACAAAAACAAAACCTGTGAGTAAGCTGCTCAAAATTTAGAATTAGGAAACCATAAACAACTCGCCTACTGTGTACAAGGCTCTCCTCAGTAAATACACCTTCAACGCCCTGCGAAATTCGAGAAAAGATGCAATGGACCTGATGTTAGGTGGTAGATGATTATGCATCTTTTTAGCATTATAAAGTATTGAACTTTTAACTAACTCTGAGCGCGGGATTGGCAGATAAAGATCCAACTCTGCGTTCCTCAGTGGATAATTGTGAGATGGCCTCTCTGAGATAGCTGATATTAAGTGCTTACGAATTAAGCAGACGGATTCGAAAATAAATAAAGATGGAAGAGTTAATATACTAGACTTGATAAAAAATTCCCGGCAGTGAGTTCTACTACCAAGTCCCAAAGAATAACGAAGAGCTCTCTTCTGCAGTCTAAAAATGCGTTCAAATTGAGACGCACAACACGTGCCCCAGAATGGAAGGGCGTAACGTAAATACGACTCAAAAAGAGCATAATATACCATCCTGCAAGTTGCCGAGTTAAGCTCCCTGGAAACAGATCTCAGTACAAAACAGGCCGAACTTAATTTCTTTGCTAAGGCGTCGATATGCAGGTCCCACTTTAGAGATTTATCAACAACAAGCCCCAGGAATTTCACGGAATCAACGGCCTCCATGGTATTGTTATCCAGTACTACAGATTGGAGCGAAGCTCTGTAAGATAAAACTTTGGTTTTAGAGAGGTTGAGGCACAGGAGATTTGAGTCACACCATGATTTGATGGTGATTAAGTCACTAGATACGGTTCTATGGAGTTCCGTAATATCCGGGTTGTTCCAAGTGAAACTAGTATCGTCTGCGAAGAGACAAACTTTGCCGCTAATATCCAGACTAGCAATGTCGTTAATAAATAGCAGGAATAAAATAGGGCCAAGAACTGAACCCTGAGGCACACCACATTCAATTGGTTTACAAGAGGACATGGTCGAGTCCACCCTCACAAGCTGACTTCTGTTACCAAGATAAGACTTAAACCATTCGAGAGCCATTCCTCTGAAACCTTAGAACTGTAATTTGTTAATTAAGATATTATGATTAACACAGTCGAAAGCTTTGGAGAAATCACAGAAAATTGAGGCTGTAGAGTGGTGGCAGTTCAGGCTGGAGTATACATTATTGAAAAGGGAAAACATTGCATCATTAGTACATTTGTTACTTAGGAAACCGAATTGACTGGTAGTTAGAATATTATATTTAGAGAGAAATGATAGAAGCATCTTTTTAACCAATCTTTCTATGATCTTTGATAGTGTAGGAAGGAGTGCAATGGGGCGATATTTTGAAGGTAGCTCCTTATCACCTCCCTTATGCAGTGGGATAATTATCGCCATCTTAAGACAGTTTGGAAAAGCTCCATTTAGAAACGACTTGTTGATCAGAGTAGTAAGATGTTTTAATGTGCAATCAGGAACATTAGAGAACATTTTGACGGTGAGTCCATCAGTCCCAGATGAAGATTTGTTTTTAATATCTTTGATTGTACTGCGAAGCTCTGGAACTACTACAGGCGTGAAGAAGAAACTGTGTAAGTTCACCTTAGCATTCAGGAGATATGAAAGTGGGTCCTGGGAAGGAGTTAAGGTATTCACTAAATTCTTAGCCACATCAACAAAGTAATTGTTAAGGATCTCAGGTGAAGTAGGAATTTTGCTAGATGAAGAAGCCTTATTCCTCAAGTCATTAACAATTGACCATGTTTCTTTTGCAACATTTTTGGAGTTTGCCAGCCTCCTATTATAATAAATGTCTTTGGCGGCTTTTATGGTTTTCTGATAGACTTTTCGGTAGAATTTTACGTAATCATTGAAGAAGACGCTATCCGAGAATTTTTTTAGATGAGACAAGGATCGCATATTTTTTCCAGAAGTACGCAAGCCACTAGTGGACCATGGTTTATGCCGTTTGACTTTGATGGGTCTGAGAGGAAAGGATTTAGTCGCCAGGTCAGATAGGGTATTTATGAATCTAGAGAACTCGGAGTCAACATCATCTGAGTGAACGACCCAGTCAACTGATAAGCAAAGTTGACTGAAATTTAAAAAATTTCCATCCGAAAATATTCTGCCCAATTTGCAGGAAGCACCCTTACGTAAGGAATTCAATGAGAAATTCGTTAATACTGCTTCGTGGTCAGAAAACCCTGCACTAAAAATAGAACAGTTGACCAATTCTGGATCAAAAGATGAAGCGACATAGTCAATGGTAGTAGAACTAGTTTTGGTTATTCTGGTTGGAGAGTTTACATGCATCACAATCCCAAAGGAGTCGAAAATGGACTGGAGAGATTCTTGAGCAGCGCACACACAGGAAAAATTTATATTATAGTCACCACATAAAATTATTTTGCAATTCAAGGGCAAGGAGTCAAGCAAGCTCAGCAAATTCCGACAAAACATGTGCGCGTCTGTGTCCGGTGATCGATATAAACAGACAATATAAAGGTCAAAGCCACTATGATAGACGATGGAAAATTCAAATATTTTTTCCGATAATAAATTATCAAACTTGGTTATTGCCGTAAAGTCATTATTAGTGGACATTATCATAGTGCCTCCGTGAGATAAATTACTTCGATTAAATCTAGCTATTGAGGTGTAATTTTTGACAAACACAGGTTCATTCATATTTAACCAGTGTTCAGTAATGGCGATGATTTCTGGAAGATTAAGCTCTTCTAATAAAAGAAATAATTCATCTGTTTTGTGTTTTAAGGACTGAATATTAATAAGAAATACACTAAGCTTGCCATCCTCCAACCTTACAGAGGGTGCTTGATCCTCTGGTCGCGTCACCTTATCTAAAAAATTTTATTATTACGTGGAGAGCCACTAGAGAAATATTTGCTCTGACTTTCCCTAATATTCTGTAACCGGAGAAGTTTCTCGGACGAGAAGTAAGACCTGAAGGCGGAGAGATCAGCGTCAACTTCAGCCAGACTAATAGTTGGGGAGCTGGCGTCAAAAACATGCAAGAGTTTTCGCAAGGCGGATATTTTCAAAATAGGTCGTACTTTAGTGCTAGAATGCTAGTGTACAGTCAGCACTCACAGTTCCGGGACAGCTGGCTCTGGGACGCGGGCAAAGTTGTAATTTTAAGAAGCATCTAAACTGTTTTCTCAAAGCTCAAAATTTATAGAAATTTTGCACATTATCTGTTTGAAGGTCACAGATAACGTATGTAAATCGTCAGACGTCTAGTTCGTTGCAAAAAGGGGGTCAGACGTCCTCAAAGTTTTTATTTTATGGCATTTTCTTCGGTGTCCTGTCAAAATATATTTTTGCAGGTATTTGACAAATATATTTGAAGAAAATGCCATAAAATAAAAACTTTGAGGACGTCTGACCCCCTTTTTGCAACGAACTAGACGTCTGACGATTTACATACGTTATCTGTGACCTTCAAACAGATAATGTGCAAAATTTCTATAAATTTTGAGCTTTGAGAAAACAGTTTAGATGCTTCTTAAAATTACATCTTTGCCCGCGTCCCAGAGCCAGCTGTCCCGGAACTGTGAGTGCTGACTGTACACTAGCATTCTAGCACTAAAGTACGACCTATTTTGAAAATATCCGCCTTGCGAAAACTCTTGCATGTTTTTGACGCCACCTCCTGGACTATAATGCCATACGCGTTGTGGAAACGGAAATATAACTTCCGCAATGAGTCCAAGTCACTAGGAAGTCCCTCCGAAGCCAAAATTAATTTGATGCTGGTGTTAGTGTGCCCATCAAAACACACGGTGGATGGTTGGTCTTGGAGATAAGCCAGGAATAGCCTAAGAGCTTTAAGAATGGCAGGGTCTCTTAGTCTAGCCAATAAATATCAACAATCAGCTGTATCGGAAGCTCGCGATAATCGCACAATGGGTGGAGTCATCGGGTCCATGATTGATTCATCTTTTTTCCTACTTGTATCCATAACAATTTTTGTGCTGTCTAGTGCCAGGGACTTAGAAACAGCTATAGCCTCCCTGTCAGAACCAATCCTGATAGTTTTATCATCCTTAGTTGGGTTAATCGGGGTTGAGTCAGAGTTTAGTGGTCTACTTCGGCCCTCCGCAGTGTTGGGTTTGAAATGGTGATGAGACTGATGCTGTGGATCTACTGTAATTGCTGCCGACGGTGGCGATGCCTTTAAAAGTGTTGCAGATAAATTAGAAGTCTCTATACCTGTACCTGGAGGCCACATGCTCCTGTCCAAAAGCTGCTTTAGATGATTTTTGTTTTGAACACCAACTTTGAAATCAGTGTGAGAGCAGTCTTTATTTTGGAGCATTGGAAAGCATCTGATAAACTCCGTGGTTCCAAGTTTTTCCTTTACAAAATGAGCAAGCTGTTTTGCTGTAAAAGGATGGAGGATTTTTGACACTACCACATAATGCCAGTTTTCTTTTAGGGCGGAATTCTGAGGTGGGGGACAGACTCGGGAATCTATGACCACTTGCGTGACAGGGGATGTCTCTTCACTATCGGTCTGGGTTGAAATCGACGCTGTAATTGACTTTTTTACAGGTGGCGGGCTGCTCCTAGTAGACGGTTTCTCTTTGCCTGCTAACTTTTCCAACGTGAGCGCCATTTGGTTGACACATTTCTTCAAATCTGCCATTTCCCTTGTTAACTCTTCTTTTGAAGAGTCATGTACCTGAACCTTTATAGACTCATCATGACCGTCCATGAAGATCGACGAAATGTTGCACAAGTCTCGTTTCATTTCCCTAATTGAATGGAATAGAGATTGTTGTCCACTCTCAGAGTACTCAGAATGGTGGTTGTGTATGTCATCCACTTTCTTGGATAAGTCGCTCCACCTGGAATCATGAGCGCTTAAGGTGTCGTAGATTTCCGAAATGACCGGATGAAGTTTTTCACTGTTCTTAAGACATGCACCCAGAGCCTCTACAATTTCCAGAGGGATTTGGCCTTTCTGTAGTTGAGACACTTTATCGTGAAGATATTTTAACGTTGGAGAATCACAGACACTACAGAAAAATCTAATATTGTGATACTTTTGTTGGCACAGCATCTTTGTTGTCGTTTTATCCAGACCAGTGCAGCTCATACAGAAATGCCGGCGACATTCACCGCTACAGCGAAGTTTATACTTGTCCTTGTCAGAGGTGATTTTTTGACAGGAGTCACACTTAAACTCGGCCATTTTTGCACAAAGAAAAGCAACGACGCAAGGCTGAAGTTCAATACACGCAAGGTTCAAGTTCAATAATTTCACAGGAACATTACCGGTAAAACAGGAACTAGTTTATAAAACAGGAACTAGTTTAAAATTAATTTAGCGAAAGTACACGCACAGCGAACAATAACACTTCGATGTGTTGTTGGTTCAAAACAAAACATCAAACAAATCAAATCAAAACAAACATTCAACACCCGCAGAGCCTACGAACGGAAAAACACAACCGTCCCGTACGACTTCTGAGAATCGACGTTTTAAATCGCTCAAGACACCCAAAATTCCTAATCGGAGTAACTTTATGAGACTTTGAGAAATCACTTTTCAGGATTCACGTCTTAAGTTGGTACGGAGCCCTTCGGATATCTACGTCACAGATTAGGAAACGGTTAATTTATTCATTAGTATGACTTCTCAAAGTACTTTTAGGGACGTGACAGGTCATTGGACGAGCCCAACATCTATTATTCCAATTATTGTCCAGTAGGACATCTCAACGAGTCCCGGAAAATTGTTCGAAAATAATTGTTCGAACGGAAATTTCTTCGGAAGGGAAATTGTTCGAACGGAAAATTGTTCGAAAGGAAAATTGTTCGAAGGAAAAATTGTTTGAAAGGAAAATTGTTCAAATGGAAAATTGTTCGAAAAAAAAATTGTTCGAATAAAAAATGGTTCGAATGGAAAATTGTTAATAAATGTATTTATACGCCTCGGAAACGTAAATCCACCAAAAACGTGAAAAACCTTTTTTAAATACAACAGCTCGAAATTTCAATTATTTTTGAATCTCCGATTGCTTGCTTCGCTCACCGAATCTCAAAGAGAAGATCCGCGGAACCGCAAATTCGGCATTGGTACAAGAGAGCATAGCTCAAAAACGAGCGGATAAAAAAGCGCAGGTCAAAATATTATTGGCAACCAGTACACTTCTAACCAGTATTAAATAAACTGTAACGAAACTAACCAAAAATATGCAAACTATCCCAAACTAACCCGTCCACGTAATGCGTGCCAGTCCTTGTATGTTAAGTTAACATTAAATTTAAAAAACCAAGCGCCTCCTATTGTCAAGCAGTACGCTTTTAGCACAGCTTTTAGCCAGTGTTAAATGAACCGTGACAAAATTAACCAAAAATATGTAAACTAGCCCAAACTTACCAAAAATATGCAAACTAACCCGTCCACCTAATGCGTGCTAGTCCTTGTATATTAATATTGAATTTAAAAAACCAAGAATTAGGAATCAAGGACAAATATTAAGAATTAAGGAATTGGGTAACTCCGGCCATCGATTCATTTACAATTAATTCACAGTTAAACTATTGATTTTTCGGAAAAAAATAACAATTTTCCGTTCGAACAATTTTCTGTTCGAATAATTTTCTGTTCGAATAATTTTCCGTTCAAATAATTTTCCCTTCGAATAAATTTCTGTTCGAATAATTTTTCCTTCGAATAATTTTCCGTTCGAAAAATTTTCCGTTCGAACAATTTTCTTTCGAACAATTTTCCGTTGACGCATCTCAACATTTGAAAATTGAGGAATTAAAGCACTCTAAGCAAAAAAAACGCAATTATTCATTCTCTTATTCAAAACTCCAACTGAGTAGTTTATTTATACAAAATTATTCTACAAAAACTGACTTTCAAGTTCAACCTTAATACAAAAAAATAATCTATTTACAAACTATTCAAGTCTCTCAACGATAGGAATGGGTCTTTGTACATAGATATTACACAAAATATGGCAAGAAATAATTATGTATACAAAAAAAATGTTCTTGATGCAAGAACTACTTACAATAATTAAGTAAACAGTCTTTTGGAAAACTAATAATACGTGTTTTATCAAAGACATTATTTCAATTGAAAATTTTAAACCTAAAATCTACTATACAATATGGCTTTTATGTGAGAGTAAAAAATTGTTTTGAGCAACTTATCTTTGACAAAACACACGGCACTCAAATTTACTAAGGCACAAAAAAAAAAATACGGCACAAAATCACACGTACTCTTCACTGGGTTTATTATTGTTGGTAAGCCTAAGGGAATTTGGCACTCTACTATTCACAGAATCGGGCATTTCCGCAATGTCTTTGAACACGCCCGCTAAACTTTCGAAATTCGGCCCCCAGTTGAGCAAATAGTCCCATCCTAGGGCAGTGGTGGGCGGACTTCCTGTTCCGGGCCTGTACATCGGACCGCCCAATTCGTCGTCGGAAGCGACTAGGGTACTCATTGAGCCTCTGGAATTACAAAAACGAAACTGTAGCACTATAACACCCAAGCTTGTCACTATAAATTATTCACTCACCTATACGAGGAATCAAATCCATCATACGAAGGTGGTGGTATGTTACTTTTGCTACCACTACTCGAGTCATTGCGTCTTGACTCCAATTTATTTGGTTTGTATTTGTTATCGCCTGGTAAACTGGCATTGTCGTACTCAATTTCTGAGCAGGTAAACGAATCGTTACCGCTTTCATCGGTACTGGTAGAACTGTGGTGAGTTTCAGGAACCGGACTGTGACGCATATGATTACTCTGGAAAATAATTTATTTAGTTTCTGTTGCTATAATTAAATCAAACTAACTTACTAAATGGTTGTTGCCACCTACTCTTGGAGCCTCACTACTGCTTGACACAGCGTCCAGCGTCGAAACCAAACTGGAATTTCTAGGTCTCTGATTCAGTCTTTCAATTTCTTCCGCGGTGAGGCCATGAGGCGAGGTAGTTGCTACTTGAGGCGGCGCAGTCGCTTTCCGGTTACTGCTCTGGCCGCTCAGCTGCGACATGACTGGGCTGTTGAGGCTTCTTTCGCTGTTACTGTGCAGCACGTCTTTCCCAACTCCGCCACTGCTGGAAGTGGTCGCTAATAAGGCGCTTTGTAGTGGTTTTCCGCTGATGTCGTGCAGGGTCAGTATTCTAGGTTGCTGTGCTGACATTTCGCTGCTGGGACTCAGTCGGGCCAACGGGGTGGATTGGTGGCCGCGATTTGTCGGTGTCGCTACTGGTGGTGCTCTTGGAGGGAACCTGGAATCGGATGTGATTTTTGTAATGTACGCGTCTAGTGTAACATTGTAAACGTAGCATAGGGCGTTGTATGTTGTATACCTAGCCTACTGCATATAACTATGAAATTCAGTCACTAGCTTAATACACAATAATTTCAAGTTATACCATAACTTTATATGTACTTACCCAGTGGGATGATGTGGTGAATGCCTATGCTGAGCTTGAGCAGTAGCAGCGCCATGCTTATGATGGTACCCTGCCATACTCGGAGGTGTCGCCTTATACTTTCTCACCCCACCACCCTCACGAAACCCTTTATAGTGGTATACTATGTCTATATCGGACGGTGCGATGCTGCTGGCATTTTCCAGATCGTAGTGTTCGGGCATTTCCGACCCCATATCGTTGCTCACGTGATCGTGCGTGTGATTGGACGACGGTGGTAGAGGAGGATGATGGTCTTCCCGCATTGGTGGTGATTTGGTTACTACTTCACGCTCGATTATGTCAGGACGTTGAGGCCTGGGCGGATCGTTTCCTTGTAGAATGTCGCGTTCTTTGAATTTTTTCGGTAACAATTCAGGACCTACTAAACTGTGACCCCCTATACCTCTAATCACATCCCCGTCAGTGTGGTAACTCATGGAATTTTCAATTCCGTGCATGCCTCTGGATAAGACGTTGTCGTTCATTGCATTCAGGCCAACAGCACCCAAATTCACCCCTCCGTTTTGCTTGGAATGAATACCATTTGGACCATTGGGGCTACCGCTTTTTTCTTTGTATTGTTTTCTCAGTCTGAACACTACAAATGAGACTAGGATGGCCACTAAGAGGACAACGAAGAACACTATTACAAGGGTAATGCCGATGCTTAAAGGATCTTGAATTGAAGCTGCACCAACACCTATAATACAAATTTTTATAAACTAAGCTACATATTATATGTAAAACTATTACCCAAAACTCCATTGCATCCTGCGACAACTTTGCCTCTATTATTAACCTCAGAAAATATACTTCCAGAACCATTGAATGGCTGTATTTCTCTATTTACTGTAAAATTAGCTAAACATCCCTCGAAAAAGCTAGGCAAGCTGTTGTTAACGTAATACAGATTCCTTTGCACACCTCCTATTGACAAGTAGGTTAAATATGGATCCAAAAAATCGTGCACTCCTGCAGAATCAAGTTCCTCTCCTAGGCGCTTACCTAAAATTCAAGTAATTACAATTTTGCCTCTTAATCTTACCAAATCCTATTACCATCCAAGATCACTTGCAAACTCCTAGACTTTATATACAAAGTCAAATTGTGCCAGGCACCATCAGTAACAGAATCGTGGGAATCAGTCATATTGACCACCGTAGAAGTTTTGCTTGTATACACAATTTGACCATTGACCATTTCTACTGAAGTATAGTATTTGTTTGAGGTGGCATAAATCAAAAGACCGTTTTGCTTGAGCGTTCTAAATATCAGGCTGATGCTTTTATCTGGGGTGGATCTTGAGTTTCTTTCTGTCAGTTCAAATGAACCGGTTGATCTAAAAAATGATAATAATTTGACAATAAATTAAAGCGACTATGGGGTTATACGAGCCCGATGGGCCGGAGTTAGACGGAGTTTTACGAGCCCGTTAGGAATTAATTATTGTCAACCGATTTTAATACTCCGGCCCTTCGGGCTCTTAATCCATGAAACAAAAAAAAAAGACCATTTTGCATCGACTGTCAAAGAAAACAAGGCCTACTTTGAAACGTCAATTTATTGACGTTTGTTGTATGATAAGCAGTGTTGCCATATGTTTTTTTTTTCAAATCTCGAGCTTGGAAGGCCAGGATTATTTCAATTACAAGCCCGAAAATTCGAGGTTATACGAGCCCGAAGAGCCGAAGTTGTTAGAGCCCGAAGGGCCGGAGTTATACGGAGTTTTACGAGCCCGTTAGGAGTTAATTGTCAACCGATTTTCATACTCCGGCCCTTCGGGTTCGTAATCCATGAAACAAAAAGACGCCATTTTGTATCGACTGTCAAAGAAAATAAGGCCTACTTTAAAAAGTCAATTTATTGACGTTTGTTGTGTCATAAGCAGTAATGCCATATGTTTTTTTTTTTTTTCAAATCTCGAGCTTGGAAAGCCGGAATTATTTCAATAACAAGCCCGAAGAGTCGAGGTGATACGAGCCCGAATAGCCGAAGTTATACGAGCCCGAAGGGCCGGAGTTATACGGAGTTTAACGAACCCGCTAAAAATTAATTATTGTCAACCGATATTAATACTCCGGCCCTTCGGGCTCTTAATCCATGAAACAAAAAGACGTCATTTTGTATCGACTGTCAAAGAAAACAAAGTCTACTAGTTTGAAACGTCAATTTTTTGACGTTTGTTGTGTCATAAGCAGTATTGCCATATGTTTTTTTTTTCACATTTCGAGCCTGGAAGGCCAGCATTATTTCAATAACAAGCCCGAAAAGTCGAGGTTATACAAGCCCGAAGAGTCGAAGTTATACGAGCCCGAAGGGCCGGAATTATACGGAGTTTTACGAACCCATTAGAAGTTAAGTATCAACTGATTTTAATACTCTGGCCCTTCGGGCTCGCAATTCATGAAACAAAAAGACGTCATTTTGTATTAATTGTCAAAGAAAACAAAGCCTTTTAGTTTGAAACGTCAATTTTTTGGCATTGTCATAAGCAGTGTTGCCATATGTTTTTTTTTTCAAATCTCGAGCCTGAAAGGCCGGGATTATTTTTCAATTACGAGCCCGAAAAGTCGAGGTTATACGAGCTCGAAGAGCCGAAGTTTTACGAGCCCGAAGTGCCGGAGTTTTACGAGCCCGTTAGGAGTTAATTGTCAACCGATTTTAATACTCCAGCCCTCTGGGCTCTTAATCCATGAAACAAAAAAAACGCCATTTTGTATCAACTGTCAAAGAAAATAAAGCCTTTTAGTTTGAAACGTCAATTTTTTAGCATTTGTTGTGTCATAAGCAGTGTTGCCATATGCTTTTTTTTCAAATCTTGATCCTGAAAGGCCGGGGTTATTTTTCAATTACGAGCACGAAAAGTCGAAGTTGTACGAGCCCGAAGGGCGGGAGTTATACGGGGTTTTACGAGCCCGTTAGGAGTTAATTGTCAAGCGATTTAAATACTCGGATTTAAGTAATCCATGAAACAAAAAGACGCCATTTTGTATCAACTGTCAAAGAAAACAAAGCCTTTTAGTTTGAAACGTCAATTTTTTGGCATTTGTTGTGTCATAAGCAGTGTTGCCATATGTTTTTTTTTTTTCAAATTTCGATCAATTAGAAGCCTGAAAAGTCCAGGTTATTAGGTACTTACCTAATGGTTCTCTGATGCGACCACAACGTAGTACCAAGATACATATTTTCTAAAAGTTGCATCCTTTTGTGTTTCTTCGTAATAGAAAATTCAATATACCCTCCTTCACTCAAGCTAATAGGTTGCAACGAGTTTTGACAATTAGGTGCTAGTAAATAGTTGCCGCACGAACAATACGAGTGACTCCAACGATCAATACAAGCTCCAAAACCTAAAAATTACCATTAAATTCTCCTATGACTAGCAAAACTAGTTGTTACCTCCGCATGGATCCACAGATACTCCTGCCCCTTTGCCACAACTCTGACTTCTGCTGCATTTATTTGCGATGCCTTCCGACTGAAGTGGATGGCTAAGGTTCAACTGACGTCCATTTATCGATACACTGTGCACACATCCAACAAAATCATCAGTATGAATTTGACCTGGCCGTTCCAACACTGGATCCGGACTGTTGATGCCTCCAATCAATAACGGCTGATTGTTGAAATTCAATGTTCCCGTATCGCCACTGTTTTCTGTATAGCAGCTGCCCTCGTTAGGCCTACAGTCTTCGCAAATATCACCGTTTTCATTGCAACTTCCGATATTCAAAGAAATAACTTTTCCATTTCTGGTTGCGGTGATTTTATACCAATTCCCATCGGCCAAGTTATTGCTGTTTTTAGCTATAGCGTTTATGGATGTTATAGCCGTACGGGCCCCACCAAAACTGAAAACAGCACGCCCTTTTATTAATTCAATTGCCACAAAGTCGCTCCTGCCTAAAGTTTGCAAGCCGTAATTGTAAATCAATAGAGAATCTGGCTTGGTAGTAGCAAAAATAAAGGATAAATCGTTTGTGGTAGCATCCAGAGATGGGAAAAGCATGTAGGAGAGTTCTTGGAAGCCAAACGTGGACTTTTCGCAATGTCTTCCGTATCGTCCGTCGGTGCAGCTGCATCTATAGCCTGGCATTAAATTGACGCAAAGGCCTCCGTGGAGGCACGGATTTGGACGGCAAGAGTCTGCTAAAGCTTCACATTGATTGCCTCTATAGCCAGACCTTAATTTAAACAAAAAGATGTTAGTAGTTGAATAGTATTAGATAGCAAGGGCTTACCTGCAGAGACAGAAGAAACTAGATCCATCAGGACTTTCCTTACAAGTTCCTCCATTTTGACAGGAATTTTCGGAACAAACATCGCCACGTTCCAATTCACAATGTTTGCCATCTTTATTGTGAGGACACACACAGTGATAATTGAAGCCCTGTTTGCGACATTGTCCGTTGTTTTTGCACGGATTCGGCAAACAAGGATCCTGTCTTTTGTCGCAAACTGCCCCTGTGAAGCCGTCCATGCACTGACAAGTGTATTCGTGTAGGATTAATGGAGAAGTGAAGATTAAGGTTTGACTATCGGTGATTCTTGTAGTGCGCTTCATTGTTATGGATTCGGTGCAAATGCCGCCGTTCTGGCACGTGTCTTCGTTACAAGGCGAATATCCAACGATGATGTTATCGTTTTGGAATAGATTCACTAGAGCGTCTCGTTTTTTTTGCAATTTTTCTTTGGTGTAAAATTTGCTTTTGTAACTGGAGCTACTTTTAACGGCCATTGTTAGTTCCAGGCCTTGTTCGCCTTCAAACAGACTGTACAAGATCAAATTCTCGTCTCTGTTGAGGGAGTTTTTAATTATTTCCAAAAATCCTGCATAGTGGTTGGTCAAAAAGTTATTGGCTGACGTGTTTTTGATTAAAAGCGAAACAGAATTTTCTATTGTGACGTTATCGAAGGCAATAAATTCAATCTAAAACAAACAAAAAAATACATTATAAGAATGATAAAGTTTGTGAGGCTTTTGCGGCCCAGGTTTATTGATAAGGTGTTTTCATTCGTAAGTTGGAATTTCTTTCTGACGTTTCACTAGCACGCATGGCTAGCATTTTCAGAGGTCCGATTCTGGTAGCAGACTGACGCGTTCCCGATCGCAAGTTGTATTTATGTGTGAGTGGTTGTGGTGGCAGAAGGGCGGGGTTTCGCAGCACGTGACTGATCTGAAACTTCTCTGCACTCAATGGGATCTCTCTTAGACTTTTGACGATCGGATTCCAAATTTGGTTAAGTTTATAAAAAGGAATTTGTGCTTGAAATTGAAGCACTTTGATAAAGGGCCTAGGACTTAGTGCTTCAAACCCTTTTACTAGGGGCTTTGCCCAGCTCGCTATTAAATTTTGAGCAAATCAAAATAAATTATATATGGTTGAAAAGAGCATCAAATTCTCTATAAATCAGTGCTAGATTGAGTTTGATTACCCAAATACTTTTAGAGCAATTGAGCCTCAAAGTTGGATTTCAGTTGAAATTTAGTCAAAAAATTCAAACTCGATTTTCTCAAAAACCGTAATTGCCAGCGATTTCAACTAAGTACCATTTTGAAACCCTAATCAAGGGTTACAATCTTAAAAAATTGAGTTTGAAAATTTTGAAATTAAAACCCAAAGGGGTTTAAACCCTTTGAAAAAATCGAAATTTTTATTTTTCAGATTTTTTGAATTTTGAGTTTTCCAATCGATAGAGCAGATCTAAATTAGTCGAAAAAAACTCAAACTTCATATCCAAATCTCGATTTCAAAAGGGAAAAAAAAATCAAAAGGAAAATCTTAATTTTCAGATCTAAAATTTGTTTAAATTCTGACAAGGTTAGGAGCAATTGCCAATACTTCCATTAAATTTTGAGCAAATCAAAATAAATTATATATGGTTGGAAAGAGCATCAAATTCTCTATAAATCAGTGCTAGATTGAGTTTGATAACGTGAATACTTTTAGAGCAATTGAGCCTCAAAGTTGGATTTTAGTTAAAATTTAGTTAAAAACTTCAAACTCGATTTTCTCAAAAACCGTAAATGCCAGCGACTTCAACTAAGTACCATTTCAAAGCTCTCATCATGAGCTACAATCTTAAGAAAAATTAATCCAAAATCTTCGACAAGTTTCGAGAAAATTGAGTTTGAAAATTTTGAAATTAAAATCCAAAGGGGTTTAACCCTTTGAAAAAATCGAAATTTTTATTTTTCAGATTTTTTGAATTTTGACTTTTCCAATCGATAGAGCGGATCTAAATTAGTCGAAAAAAACTCAAACTTCATATCCAAATCTCGATTTCAAAAGAGAAAAAAAATCAAAAAGAAAATCTTAATTTTCAGGTTTAAATTTTTTTAAAGCCTAACAAAGTTAGGAGCAATTGCCAATATTTCCATTAAAATTTGAGCAAATCAGAACAAATTATACATTGTTGGAAAGAGCATTAAATTTTCTATAAATCAATGCAAGATTGACATCCATAGCTCAAATACTTTCCGAGCAATTACACCTCAAAGTTGAATTTTAGGCGAAAAAGTATCAAAAACTTCGAACTAATTTTTTTCAAAAACCGTAAATGCCAACGACTTCAGCCAAGTACCATTTTAAAGCCCTCGTCATGGGCTACAATCTCAAAAAAAATTGATCCAAAATCTTTGACGGGTTTCGAGAAAATTGAGTTTGAACATTTTGAAAAAAAAATTCAAAGGGGGTACCTTTTGGAAAAAAATTAAAAATCTCAAAATTTTCATTTTTCAAATTTTTGCAATTTTGACTTTTCCAATCGATAGAGCGAGTTCAAATTAGTTGAAAAAAACTCTAACATCATTACAAAATCTTGATTTCAATACAGAGAAAAATTAAAAAGAAAATCTCAATTTTTAGGTTTAATTTTTTTTGAATCCAGTCAAAGTTAGGAGCAATTGCCAATACCTCCATTAAAATTTGCGCAAATCAAAATAAATTATATATGATTGGGAAGAGCATCAAATTCTCTATAAATCAGTTCTAGATTGAGTTTCATAACTCAAATACTTTTCGCACAATTGAGCCTCAAAGTTGTTTTACTCGAAATTTAGTTAAAAGCTTCAAACTCGATTTTCTCAAAAACCGTAAATGCCAGCGACTTTAACTGAGTACCAATTTCAAGCCCTTACTAGGAGCTACAATTTCAAAAAAAAAAATGATCCAAAATTTCCGACGGGTTCCGAGAAAATTAAATTTGAAAATTTTGAAAAAAAAAAAAAATTAAAATTGTTGGCAACACTATTTGACAAGGGACAAAGTAGGCATTGCAAAATTTTAAAATTTAAATATGGTGCCCTGTAATACCGACATTGCAATACATACATGTTTCCAAAGCCTACTTACTTACTAAGGCGAGAATTTTCCTGAAAAATCAGATTTTTGGTGATTTTTTTTTTTAAATCTGGTGATTTTTCAATTAAATTTTTTTGACCTGGCAACAGTGCGCATCAGTCTGCTAACAGAATCGGACATGAAAACACCTATTGAAGAAATTCCAACTTACGATTGGCCATTAAGCCCGAATGAAATCATTATAAAAATATTAGAATTACAGTTATTTAACATATAATTACCGTAACACTCGATACCACTGCTTTATGTATTCCGTCATGGCCAGAAACAGACAAAGAATACCCTTGTCCAGGCGTCGCTCTGCCAGCATTTAAATCACATCCATGAGGAATACTTAGAAGATCATAAGAAGCGGAATTTTGTAGAATTTTACATTTATAATCTCCGCTTATATCTGGATCATTTGGATGGACGTTGGCAATAAGACCAGTAGGATATTCCGCGTTGTAAGTATATACAACCACGTGGACAGATCTGGCAGTAGATTCGGAATCGTTTTCATCTAGAATGATCACTCTAATGGAATGTTGACTTTTGAGTTTTGGCGTGCCATTGTCTTCGACTTCTATGGTAAAATGTAGTTCTGGAGTAAGCTGAAAATTAATTTAAATAAAATAAAAATCATTTTATATCAACTAATTCTTACTTCTCTATCAATGCTTCTAGTAGTCACAACAACTCCGGTATGTTTGTCAACCTTAACAAACTCCTTATGCTTCCCACCAATCAACTTATAAGAAAACGGTGCACCGTTTGGAGGCAAATCCGGATCCTTAGCACTTAAAGTCATAATTTTCGTAAACGCTGGCTCGTTTTCCATAACTTTCCCAACAACCTGAGGTGGATCGAAAACAGGTCCATTATCGTTGATATCCAAAATATTAACTTTAACAGTAGTAGTTCCTGTTTGAGGTGGCAACCCTGTATCTATAGCTCCAATGGTTAACGAATACATCGAAATTGCTTCTCTGTCCAAATCTCTGGCTGTCTGAATGTCTCCGGATTGTGGGTCTATTTTAAAAGCTTGCTCAATATTACCAGCAATAATAGAGAAACTAAATTGATTATTTTGGTACCTAACATCTTTGTCTACAGCCTTGACTGTAGTGACTTTGGTACCGACTATGGCAGCTTCTGAAATTTCGGCTTGATATAATGACTGTAAAAATTCTGGGGGATCATTGCCATCTTGCACAGTGACGATAACTTGAGCTTCGTCTGTATCATTGCCGCGAATACCTCCGGCATTTTTGGCCATTACCGTAAGCACTATGCGACTTTGAGTTTCTCGGTCCAAGTTTCTAGAAACACTTATGGCACCTGATTCGCTATTGATGCTAAAGCCTCTGTCATTACTTGAACCAACTAGGAGATAATAAACTTTTCCATCTTCGCCTGAATCTTGATCAGTAGCCAAGACTGTGCCAATTTTGGTACCGATCTCGGTACTTTCAGAAACATCAAAATGAAAAGCTGATTGCACAAACTTGGGATAATATTCGTTTACACCACTTATGTGTATTCTTACTTCAGTTTCGCCAACCATTGTACTAAGTGGATTGGCTGCAACAATATTTAATGCGTACATATTTTTTTCTTCATAATCAAATGAATATTTTGATGTGATTTTGCCAGATTTTTGATCGATTGAGAAGTAGTTTTTGTCTGGACCCTCTGACACTGAATAGAGGATAATAGCATTTTTTGGTGAATCAATGTCAGTGGCTACTACTTGATATACCAAAGATCCTGGAGGTTTATTTTCTGACAAATACGAATCATAAAATGTTTGATTGAAAATTGGACTGTTATCATTTATGTCTGTTAAAGTTATAGCCAGCAAGGCAGTAGCTTTCCGTGGTTTGAATCCTAAATCAGTTGCAGTAATATTTAGATGATAGGCTTGAATAGTGTCATAGTCTAATGGTTGTAAAATGGAAACTGCTCCAGTGATGGTGTCAATTCCAAAGTCTTTTCGCTCGTTTCCTGCACTTATGTCATAGCGGATCATGCCGTTAGGGCCGCTGTCTTTATCTGTTGCATTTACAATTAAAATTGTAGATCCAAGCGGCTCATTTTCAGGTACTATTACTTGATAGCTTAAAGCATTGAATATTGGAGTGTGTTTATTATCACCAGTCACTATCATTGTAACAGTAGTTTCATCTATTTGCGCTGGAATTCCTTTGTCTGTAGCCCGAACTCTTAGAGTGTATTTGGATCCAACATTGTTCACTTTTTGCTTGAGAGAAATCCAGCCATTTGACATATCTATAACGAAGTGGCCGGAATTATTTCCTGCAACGATGGTGTATTCAATTTCCGCATTCACTCCAGCATCAAATTCGTCTTTAGCAATGACTTGCAGTAGTTGTTGGCCAGCAACAGCATCTTCAGGAACAGGCGATAAGTATTCTTGTTGCTCAAACTTAGGTGCGTTATTATTAGCATCCACTACGTTGATAGTAACAGTGCATTCTGAAGACATAGGGGGTTTTCCATTGTCTGTGGCCAAAATAGTCAAAGAATAAGAATTTTCTGGAGAAGATTCCATTTGAGTGTATTTGTATCTTATGCTTTGTTTACTGAATATTTCTCCTGAAGCTGGATCTACAGTGAATAAGTCGGATGGTTGTTGTATGCTATAGCTGATAACTGAATTTGGGCCTTGTTTGTCTCTGTCAGTGGCTATCACTTGACCTACAAAAACTATATCGCGCTGAAGCTCTGGAAAATTGAAGCTGTAATAGGAATGTTCAAATTCAGGAGCATTATCGTTTTGGTCCTGTATGGTTATAGTCAAAGGAGTTTCCGAATGCCAGGCTCCATCAACTGCTGCTACTTTCAGCAAATACTCGTCTTGCTGCTCCCTGTCTAGATGTCCTACAACAGTTACATTGCCAGTTATTGAATCAATTTTGAATTTTTCTCCTGGATTATCGGTAAAACTGTAGGTGGCTTTTGCGTTTTCGCCGATATCCTGATCGGAACTGGTTACTCGTATTACAAAAGAATTGATTTCGGCGTTTTCTGTTACGTTTACGCTGAAGAGACGAGTGAACCGGGGCGGATTGTCGTTTTTGTCCAGGACGGTGACTAGGACGGTAGCTGTACCACTCAGTTGAGGAATTCCCTAATGGAAAATAAAATATATTAATTGAAGGTGAAGTTTTCTCGGTATAGAATTTTTAATACCCATTTGGAATAATCCCATCTTTATTTATTAATCACGAATCAGATTGAACAAAAAAAACTGGGCGAGTGGAAAAATCGCTGGACAACAGAGAGTTTTTGCTCTCGGGGTTTTCATCGACATTGAGGGGGCCTTTGATAAAACCACCTTTTAAAAAATTAGCTACTCGCTAACAGAAAGGAATACTCCAAAAACTGTTACCGGGTGGATATTCAATATGCTTTCCAGAATAATTGTACAGATAAGTGTGCAGGATGTCAACACTGAAGGAATGGACACAAGAGACCATGCCCCTGGATACTTAGGAAAACCAACTATCTAAAATATTATTTCTTAAAATCTCAACTTTTTAAAAAAACGTTTAGTGAATAAAAGTAAATGTAAGTAAATGTTGCAACCATGTATGCGCCCGCAAGTTTAGGATTGAACGAGAGCACCGCAGAAAACGAAGATACCGAAACCGAAGAGGATACAAGAGAATACGCAACTAGACTACACAACGAGCTGGACTGGTCCGTTAGAAAACTTGTCGCGTGTCTGTAATTATTCATTATTCAATTTTTATTTTTATTTTGCAATAAACTGATTGTTCAATCCAATTTGTTATTAGTGTGTGTGTAAGGAGCGTTCACGGGTTAGTGGACTAAATGTTATTTTGTTTTTGAGAGTTCAATTTATGCAAGTTCCTATTATTTTGTTAATTTTTATGTATTTTTTTGTTTGTTTATAACATTTTTTATAACATGTGCATTGTTCATGTATTTAACAAAAATCGTTCCATACTGTAAACAACACAGATAAAGTAAGTTAGAACCTAAGAAATTATGTGCTGTCTTTTTGTGCTGAGATTTTGATTTTGTGGATTTAGAGCGTGCATTAGGGCCTTGTTGAATTTACTAACATTTTCCTACTCTGACGAGAGAATATCCTAGCAAATTGATCTAGAGAGATTGGCTCAAAAACAACTATAGCTGATTAGCTTCCCGTATGGGACCTCAGTACCTGCTGGGAAACTGGCTAACTAACAAAAAAACTCTTCAGTATTGAATATAGTTAGTGTTGATTGAATGTAGTGTGTGTAATTGAAATTTTAACACAAGATCAGGGGCGGTACCTAATTTAAACTTTCATTGACTCAAATTATTGAATCAATAACTCACAATTATTATTGAAATGACACAGTATGTTTCGATTTTTGAAGAATGTTAGATCGAGGGTTTCTCTGCCGTGCTCTTTCCCCTCGTTAGTTCCAAGATGAGAATGGTACGATTTACTTTAATAATAAAGTAGACGTTTCACAAATTTTTCGTTTCTTTTACATATCACAACTTCCCTTAAATTTCCCTAATATTTGCTATGTCGGGCGCATGTCGAGTAAGTAAAATTGAGTAAGTCTCCACAACGGAGATCTTATTTGTTATTCATTTCGTTTTTCAGAAGATTGGTTGTTTAAAAGGTAATAGAAATTCTCATCCGTTAATCTTACTGCATGAACCTAGGGTATGTTATACTACAATACTTGATGGAGGTCGTTTTAACCACTATGATGCGCTTTCGCACTGTTAGAATAAAGCCAAGTGCAGAAGTCGGTTTGCAGAGAGCCCGCATATGGCGTGAGGCAACGAATTCACTTCCATTGTTGGAGGCCAGAATGGACTCTGCAACACCATGTTGCGCCTTCAAAAAACACTACGCAATCAACACGAAATAAGGCATTGGAAACAACACAGTGGCAGGGGTAAGTTGCGTGTACACTGATGGCTCCAAAACCCAAACAGGCTCAGAAAGCTCCAAACCCAAACAGGCTCAGAAAGCTCCAAAGTCCAAAGCTCTCAAACTGAACCTAGCGATAACCCTTGGCTCCATGCCTAATGTCCTCTAAACGGAAATTACTGGCATAACCATCGCGGCCGAACAGATAGTCAGCATAGACTATACCTATATATAGACCACCCTAAAGTCCAAAAAAACAAGTACACAAAAGCCCTGGGTTGAACAAAGGGATGTTCAGGGAAATCAAGAAGAAAAGAGATCTATGACACAAATACAGGAAAAATCAAACAGAAGAAAGCTATGCTTTGTACCGTATTCAGAACAACAGAACAAAATACTACATCCCAGAAACACGAGAAAACTATGAGCACAACCTTCTAGCTGGCCCCGACAAACATTTTTATGCATTTTATAAATCGTAGACTGAATTCCAAACACGCCAGTTTCAGCCTAATCGACAAAACCACTAATATTATAATTGACATACAAGAGATTGTGGCCAGGTCCTTCGCTGCACAGTTCCAAAGTGTTAATGTGAAACCTCTCAGTACTGACAGTACACCTGCTCTGCCACCGAGCACCTATTCACAGATAAAAACGTTTACACCTGAAAAAGTGATGGCTGCCATGGGTTTCCTCAAGACCGACACCAACCCTGGACCGGATCAAATTCCGGCAGTATTTCTGTCACGGTGTAAAGAGACACTATGTAAGGCATTATCGGAGGCAATAAATGACATATTTCGCACAGGGTATTTTCTTGAGATCTGGAGGAAAGGTTATTGTTGTTCCGATATTCAAGAAAGGCAACATACAACTACCTGAAAACTATAGGCCAATAAGTTTAACCTAGTGTCATCTGCAAATCCATGGAGAAAATACTAGTAGGTGCGCTAATAACCTTCTTCCTGGACAACCATATCATCCCTAATGAACCTCGGAGGTCTACCATAACAAACCCTTTGACCAGACTGCAAAAATGGATCTATGCTGATGATAACCAACAACCCATAGATGTATACTTGGACTTCGAGAAGGCTTTTAACAAGATCCCTATCAGCCTGCTCATCTACAAACTTCAGCATTACGGTGTTAGAGGACAACTTCTGCGGTTCATCAGCAGCTTCCTTCGAGCTCGAATATTTTAGGTACGAGTGAGTGTCGGAGGAGCTCAGCATTTACAGTGGCGTGCCGCAGGGCTCAGTTCTGGGACTGAGTGCGGGTTTAAAGACAAACTCTCTATCTTTTGCAGATGACAAACCTATTCTGTAATCCTGTGGAGCAATTCAATGACCTCCAAGACGACCTCGGAACTATCAAGGGCTGGAAGAACTTCTCGCCTCTTAACAGCACAAAGTGCATCATTCTTCAAATAGACCAAATCATTCCAAGACTTACATATGTCCTTGATCAACAGAGTCACCAAAGTTAAACGTCAGAAGGACCAGATGACAGAAACTTATACAAAGAGGGTCAACGATATTCTGAAGGCTTAATTAAACTCTAAGAATACAACATTATTTCAATCAATCTCGCGCTTCCACGACAAAAATCTGTGAATATGGGATACTCGCAGTAATGCGAGCCCGAAGGGCCGGAGTTATACACGAGCCCGAAGGGCTAGAGTTATTTTAATCACGGGGCCCAGTCTATAATTCTATTGGTCAGCGGATAATTTGGAGCCAATCAAAAATCGGGAATATTCAAAATGTGGCGAATAGTACTTCTCTATAGCGATCCCGGCGAAAGAAAGTCTGTACAGGAACACATCGCTCCTGCCTTCGTGAGCTCTTGATTTGCCTTATTTCCTGATCCAAGGGAAATCTTGTCCTTACCTGAAATTCCATATAAATTCCCAATTTTCATCCTTGTTTAAAAGTAAAGTTTCGAGTAAAGTTTACTGGATTTTGGCTCCTAGGCATTTAATGATTAAATAACTCAGTGTCATGACATAACCTTTATCTCTATTTTTATCTTTTGTTTCAATAGTATACATCATGTATCTTTTTCGATTAGGGGCCACATTACAGTATATTTGCATCTGCAAATTTGCAGTTCTGCAAATATGGCCGACTTGCATATGTGCTCTATTTGCAGAAACGAGCAAAGTACAGAAAAAATCTGCAATTTCGTCATAGTTATCGGAAAAAAGTGTTTGGGCGCTACTGATTTACCAGTTTTAAATGTCAAAGTTGTCAAAGTGATTGCAAGTACTTGCGGGATCGTTTCATCGTGCGCAAATTTGCAAGCGACCTGCAAATGCATTATGCTTCTGTAATACGAAAAGTCAGACTTGCAGGTCCTGCATTTGTATCTTGATGTTGTAGAGCTTCTGTAATTCCAGGCTAGGATATTTTGATATTTTGATGTATGTCAGGCATATAGTTGCTTGGCATATTATATTTTATCTCTGTCTAATCGATTTACCTTTTTCCATGGATGTATATGACGTCAAAAGTTATTTTAGTGTCTTGATTGATTTGAATTTTTTATTCATACCATGTCACTGTCATTCACTCATCCCTCAACTTCACTATCTCACCTATATCTTACCTTACCCAAACTGTTGTCTGTTGTGGAGAGGGGTTGAGGGCTAGTTTGCCTTTCTTCAGGGAAAAGCTTTACCTTCCCTGAAGAACAACCAAAACTTGATTTTTTTTTTGATTTATTGATTACCGCGCGCCCGCTCCGGTATGTGGCTATCTTCAGTTTTCTCTTATACGAGCTGTTCAACTTATGTTTAAGTGATTTTTCTTGTCCGTTCGGGGAAATCAATTGGACAGGCTGCTGTGTACCACCTTATTGACACAGGCTTGGTAGCAGGAGTTAGAGTCGGGTGGTTCTTTGAGATTAGCGGTTAATTGAGATATTGCATACCTAGGTGTGTTCGTCCGCACATTGATTTCTTTTTCTATCCCCTCTTGTATATGGCAGCTGATCCCCTTACTTCCTCTCCGGGAACTCCGCCCAGATCTAAATTCATTATGTATAAATTAGCGTTTCAATCTTTCCACTGTTGGGTCTTTCCTGACAGTTTCTTCTGTGATGTCCGTAGATTTTCTCGAAAACGGTGCCCCGTGGAGGGATACTTCTTATAGGCTTTTTCGTAGTATTTGACGATATCTACAAGTTTTGCATTCGAAGTTTTTCTCCCGAACTTTTTGGTTTTGAATTAGGTCGCTTTGAAAATTTAAAAAAAGAAAAATGGAAGGCTTATGCGATAATTTTGTCTAGGAGTATATATACTTACATGAAGAAAAGAAACATTTTCTCGAGTATTCATGGTTTTTATTGAATTTGAGATAAATTATTGAGGGCATGGGCACCCCAAAACAAATTTTGCCTGCTGCGCAGTGGTTACCTTACCGCCGTAATTCATTATTTTTCAGCCTCTTCACTTGAAATAG